GGTACGATCTAAACCAGCGTAGAGTATCTTCAGACAAACCAATATGCGACTGAAGTCTTTGAAGAAGTATCTGGCGATCAAGTGAATCAAAAGCCGCGCTGATATCCAGCATGACCCGGATAGCAACTTTGCCCTGGTCAACACTTAATAAAATGTCATTCTGGATACACGTAAGAGCAGTCTCCGTCCCGTGGCATCTACGGTAGGCGGATTGATAGGGCTCGTTCAGATGATGATCAGACATATATTGTGTCAATTGTTGAGCAACAACTTTCTCCAAGATCTTGGAGCAGAAGAACAAGTTTGTTATTGGCCTGTAATTTATTGGATTTCGCAGGTGATGTGCGAACAATTTTCTCGACTTGGATCGATGAAACCGTTTTGAGTGAAAGTTTACTTTCCGGGCTGTGAGTAGGATACGCAACAACTTGACCCCGCACCACTGCGGAATCACGATGCACAGCTTCCTTGCAGATCATGCGTATCTTGTGATTTTTGACTGGAAGGACTGGCTGAAGAGATGTGCGATCTCATCTGCTGAACCACATGAAGGTAGACAAGTTTCAGTTTTACGCCCCAGTAGATTGTCCAGCACTTTAAACATGCGATTTCCATCACCTCGGCAGTCTCTAATGAGGTATTGGTAGTAACTGCATTTGGCTGTTTTGAGAAGTCCGATGACCTTGTTCCGTTGATTTTTGTACAAGTATCTGTCAATTGTAAGTTTCGTTGAGCGCCATCTGCTCTCTAGTCTCTTTCTCTTCGCTTTCTTCCTTCGCAGATCATCAGAGTACCAGGATGTATTGGGACGAAGAGTATGTTTATCTAGAAGATTGCCCAACACTGTATTGTAAGTATCAGCAAGGACATCTGGGTCGGTGTCTGCCGCAGCTATGTCGATCGATGATGATCCAGTGACATCCTGAGCAAATTAAGTAACATCAATGTTCTTGATCTTACGATAGGCCAGAGATGTCCGTTTGCGTGTGTGTTTGTGGACATCAAGTGTGCATGTCACCAGAAAGTGATCAGATATTGTAGGATCAAATACATCAACTGATTTGATAATGCCGAGTGATGCGCGAGTGATTATCAGATCTAAAACATGTCCTGGGATATGTGTTTGTTCCTGCACATGCTGCTAGAGACTGCAAGATTCCAGGAATTTAGTGAAAGCCACGGTGTTGCGATCATCTAGTCGATCACAGTGTATGTTGAAATCCCCCATGATTACAAACTCCATCAGGGAGGTGAGTATGTTCTAGAACAGATGACCAATCTCAGTGAGAAATATGTTCATACTGGAAGCAGGCGGTCGATAGAGAACCACCAGTCGAAGCGAAGCATTTTTACTCTTAATGTCACATTCCATGTGTTCAAACGAGGTGGCGACAAACCCATTACATTTTTCAAGTAAGGTAAGTTCTGGCTTATACAACAGTCCAACGCCACCCCCAGATTTAACCAATCTGGGGTTATGAATAAACTTGTGGCCCAGAGAGGTAAGTTCAGCGTGGGTGACGGTATCATTCTCCTTCAGCCAAGTTTCCGTAATACACAAAACATCAACATTGTTTTCGTTGAAAATATCCAGTACCTCTGTGGTTTTAGTACACACTGAACGAGTATTTAAAGTACTCACATTAAGAGTGCAGTTGAGTTTGCGGTTCTCATTTTGGATGCAAATAAGATTCGCATAGTCCCTTCTTGAAGACAATGCCGGGTTCTTTGTGTTCTTTATTAAGTCATTTAAAAATGGCCGCCGTCTTCCCGTGATAGTTGCTTTTTTACCGTGTGATGTTTCCCGATGGCACGGACGCCGACAGTTGAGTTGGCCCCCGCGACAGTTCCGACGTATTGGTGGCTTATAGCTGATCTTTAGTTCACGTAATGTAGTGAAAATAGCCTGTGGAAGTTCCGTAGGTATTCCACTAAGTCCCCGAAGCTGTTCAGCAGAATACACCCACCGCATTTTGTCAAGCCCACCGCCGCACCTTCTCAGTAGAGTATGATGAAACACGGTGAACGGTTCAGTGATCTTGGGTGCATGGATGAATGCGTCTACAGTATCCACATTTCCAAAACGACGAAGCAAAGTCCAGCCAATATCCAAGAAACAGTAATGAGTTATGCTTTCGACTTTGGCACATATGAGGCAGAAGACATATGTTTAAAATCATTCAGATCGAAAGAAACCAAGACGTGGAATTAAAAGCAGAAAACTGATAAAAAATCTACTAAGACTGCAGGAGCTGCTTAACGTAAGGCTCACCTGTATCGCAATCAGGTGAGCGCTACGTGACACTGTAACCAAACCTGGGATAGGGAAATGACCAGCGTCTTCGGAGTTGGGACTGTATATTCGGGGAAGGCTGTTCAGGATGGCAGTGAGTTTTTTGATAGCCACCGGAGCAACAGAGAGTTTCAGTTCTTCCAACCTGTGGGAGAGATTGGACCCAAGCATCAGGCCTGAGCTTCACCCTTCAGATCACCGGTTCCGTCAAGCGGACGGCAGTGCCTTGCGCATTGCTGGACGTGCAAAGGTGCACATTAACGGCGGCGGGAGTGTGATACAACACAACGTGTGGGTTGCTGACGTGAGCGACGACGCCATTCTTGGCCTGGATTTCCTGCGGGAGCATAAGTGCCAGCTGATTTGGGAGGAGGATTGTTTCACTGTTGGCCTTTGCACAGTTCCCTTACATAAGTATCCCCAAGAGCCTGTAGTGTGTCGAGTACGCTTAGCTGAGAACATGGCTGTACCACCCTACTCTGAAATACTTCTGGATTGTACAGTGGTTAGCGATGGAGGAGAGCTGCCACGTTGGGGTGTGTTGCAGAACCGAGGAGCAGCAGCAGCCGATCGTGAGATCTTAGTGGCGGGTGCTCTCGTTGAGACACAGGGAAACCACGTTCCAGTTAGGCTCTTGAACGTGTCCTCTGAAGCAGTCATGCTAAGAAAAGGGAATGACGCGGCTGTCCTTAAACCCGTGGATAGTATTCCAGAAGTGGGACGCGGAGAGCCTGCCTACCAAGGCCCTACAGTGAGTGAAGAGCCTGTGCCCGCACAGCTGTCTTATTTTTTTCGAATGCAGCTGTGGAGAGCTTAAGGTCAACGAGCGGGATAGACTGGCAGCGATGCTGAGAAGGTTCGGGGACGCGTTTTCGACTAGGGACGGATATATCGGGCGAACCGGTTTAACACAGCACCACATCATCACCTCGACTGCCCAACCTGTTCGCCAGAGACCAAGGCGAGTTCCTTTACACCAACGAGACGTTGCTGACCAGGAGATAGCTAACATGATCTCACAAGGTGTCATTGAACCCTCTGAAAGCCCCTGGTATTCCCTGCTTGTCCTCGGGAGGAAGAAGGATGGGTCCACCCGAGTTTGCATTGACTACATGAAGTTAAATGAGGTAACAACAAAGGATGCCCACCCAGTTCCCCGCATCGAAGATAACGTAGACTCGCTTGCAGGGTCCATGTTCTTCTCGACCCTGGATCTTGCCTCTGGTTATTGGCAAGTCGAGGTAGCAAGAGCGGACCGGCCAAAGACTGCGTTCAGCACGGGGACAGGGGGCTGTACCAATTTTTGACAATGCCATTCGGGTTGTGCAACGCACCGTCCACTTTTGAACGCCTAATGGAGCGGGTTCCGGCCAGGTTGCAGTGGCAGGTAACTGTTCTGTACTTGGACGATGTCATTGTGTTCGGCAAGTCCTTTGACGAACACTTGCACACTTCGCGGGGCTAACTTGAAGCTTAAACCTAAGAAGTGTAAGCTGTTTCAGAGGGAGGTGGAGTTCTAGGCCATGTGGTGTCACCAGGAGGAGTTGCTACTGACCCCGAGAAGGTCCGTGCGGTGCGAGACTGGCCCCAGCCAACAACGGTCACTGATGTCCGCAGCTTTTATTTCGTTTCATTGAAGCCTTCGCTAGGATTGCACGCCCGTTGCACCAAGTTACAGAGAAGGGCAGACCATTTAAGTGGACGGCCGAGTGTCAAGAAGCTTTCGAGGCATTGAAGCATCGCCTGGTCTCATCCCCCATTTTGGCTTATCCTGTCCCCGGGAACGAGTTTATCCTCGACACCGACGCTATCGGCTTTGCAGTCGGCGCTGTATTGTTGCAGGTGCAGGAAGGCAGGGAGCTTGTTGTGGCGTACGGTAGCAGGGATGCATGTACAGTGTCCGAGACCCCCAAGGGCAGTTGGCAAGATGGCTGCAGAAACTGAGCATTGACAATTTTTCCATTGAGCACCGTCCTGGTAGCCGACACGGTAACGCCGATGTCATGTCCAGAAAGTGTTTCCCGGACTGCGACCACTGGGGTAAGGAGGAAATCAGCCACGGCGCCATATTTGATGTAGAATGCTTACGCCAGTCTCGGGTGGGACAGACACGGTGCAGTACCATACAGGCATCAGACCGGTCGGAACCGGAAGTCCCGCCACTGGCGGAGGCAGCTGAACCCCTAAGTTCAGTAGCATCTCCCCTGGCGACGGTAGCCAAACCTCTGGTTGTGGAATTCTTGTCTCAAGACCTGTCCTTGAGGCCAGTACGTCAACCTCAGACAAATACTCCAGCGAGGGCCCAGAGTCCACCAGTCACCACAGAACTCAGTCGTGACCATATTGTCCGAACGCAACAAAATGACGGAGACCTCAGAGTGGTAAGGCAGTGGGTGATGCGAGGTCAACGGCCACCATGGGAGAATATAGCTTCCTTGAACAGGGATGTCAAGTTCTGGTGGGCTCGCTTCGAGCAGCTGGTGACATAGCGTGGGGCCCTTTGCATCAAGTGGGAACCAAACAGACCGACAGAAGCACCTCGTTTTCGAGTCCTAGTGCCGCGAGAAATGCAACCAACCATTCTGCAGCGCTTCCACAACCAAAAAACTGCCGGACATTCAGGTATTGGAAAGACCTTTGCTAGGTTATGCTGGGGTGATTTCTACTAGCCTTCTATGAGGCAGTCAGTCCGTAGATGTGTCGTACAATGACAACAGTGCCAGAGGCGGAAGCCACCTGCAAGGGCAAAGAGAGCGCGAATGGAATGCTATCAGGTCGGAGCGCCAATGGAGAGAATAGCGGTTAATGTTCTTTGGGCCACTTCCCGTCACACATCGAGGCAACAAGTACATCGTTGCTGTCGGGGACTATTTCACTAGGTAGACTGAATGCTATCCAGTTCCAGACCACACGGCTAAGACGGTGGCAACCAAGGTTGGTGTTCCCCTTGAAGTTCACTCCGACCAGGGTCGAGAGTTCGAATCTGAAGTCTTTGCACAGATGTGTTCTGTCCTTGGCATAAGGAAGACCCGCACGACGCCATACAATCCGAGGTCTGACGGGATGATCGAGAGGTTCAACAGCACCATGGTGGCCATGTTGAGTCTATGGGTGAACAAGTCGAAGACTGACTGGGATGAACATCTAGCTCCTCTGACCATGGCGTATCGGTCAGCGGAGCATGAAACCAACAAAGAAACACCAAACACTATGATGCTGGGGCGTGAGGTCAGGATGCCAGTTGATTTGCTTGTTGGCTCCACCCCGCAAACTCAGTTTAATGCAACAGAGCATGCGCAGACCCTACAGGACGAACTACGGCTTGCACACGAGGCAGCACGGGAGGCAACCGGGGCACAGATGAGGTATCATCTGAAGAAGGGAGTCTGCCCAAAGTCGAGTCTAAGCTGGACTGGGCCATATGTCGTAGTGGACAGGTTGTTTGATGTTGTGTACTGGATCCAAAAGACCCCTCGTTCTAACCCTCAAGTAGTCCACGCGGATAGGCGGAAAGGTTATCCGCTGAGTTGTGTTGATCAAATAAAAAAAGTTTTCTAGTTGGAAGTCCTGTGTCCGCTCCCCTTTTCCGTTGTTACCGGTCTTGAGGGACAAGAACCCCTGGTCCACGCTACAATATATCAAAAAAAAAAAAAACGACGGTCAAATGGGCATACAGTTGTAAGTCTGTGGAATTAAAGAAAACAAAACGGACATTTCATTAGTTTGTTATAATTTAACTTTACCTTGCTTAACAAAACCCAATTATTTATTAGTAAGAATATTCTGACATTTAAACTAATATTTTGACGGAAGCATCATGGTGCACATACACTGCCCATGTAGTCCACCGGCCAGTCCAGATATTGGTACCACCCGAGGTGGCAAAGCATTAAGGGTGCAAATGCTCTGTAGTATCGACCTAAGTACAAAAACATGTGATAGCAACTCCAAATGAGTAGCTTAATCTCTGTTTTTCTTATGTTTGTGTTTTGCTATTTAGTTACATTATAATTGCATTATATGTACATCCCTTACCATATGGGTTGGCATAATATTGATTACACTGTTATTGCAGGTGATTATGGCAATAAAATACAGACAGGTAGTTGGTGAACAATGTATCCTATGCCAGTAGTGCATATTGATTGTTACTACAAATTTTGTTTCGCGGGGGGGGGGGGGGTATGTTACGGTACTCTGGCTTAACTCTTAATGGGCAGGGGCGGAATCCGCCTCCCCCTTTTGACTTTTTTCTGCAATGGCCTTGAAAACAATTGTATCCCGCGGACCCAAGCAGTTATTACTTTTTAGCCTGGAGACTTGCACATGGTTTGATACCTAATTATAAAAATTATACCGTCGCTACGCGCCATGAAAAATGAATTTCCCCATATACGAAGTGTACACAGAGCAGAATTAACATTCGTGCATATGACTAATTAATGAGCCATAATCCAAAATCATTTCACCTATAGTCATGAAACTTCTTGGCTATGTTCATGATAAGTTGTTCTATGCACGTAATAAGTTTAATAATTTTTCGTTACTCGATTGCCGAGATCTGGGGGGGGGGGTGGAATTCCCCGGTCCTCTTAGGGTTAAAACTATCCATTATTTCAGTGCTTTCTGCTGAACTATGTTAATAAACAGATATACGTTTGTGTCAATCAAGTCGAGGCCCTGTGTACACATGACGCTAGTATGAATACTATATGTATGACATACAGGCAGTTTATGTTACTAAGACAGGTGCTTTACTGGCATTTTTTTAAAAATAGTTAAATAGTTAAAACAGACCTAAATCAACACTTTTAAACCATTGATTAAGTTTGGCTTGTTTCACAGGGGACACAAACAAAAGGTTAATGTTTAAAATAATGTTTATCCATCTAAACAAAACTTGTGTAATAATACGAACAACGCCCTCTAGAGGCAATATATATTTTTACGTGACGTCATTTTGAAAACCTATAGCAAACCAATAATTTAACCAAATTTCATCATTTTACAACAGAGCATAATGGTGTTATTGCGAATTGTACAACCATATCCTAACCCAAGTGCAAAGGATTTATGTAGTAAGCTCATTCTGACTAGGCTTAAAAAAGTGGGCATTTACTACCACTAAGCTACCACCCTGGGATTGCTATCACATCAATTTATCATCCTTAGACATTAATGATGTGCATCGGGTAGAGTTGACCAGGCCAAACCGACCCGAAACATTAGAGATACAAACCGATTCTGAACCGAAACCGATCTGAACTCCCTCAAACCGACCCGACTCGACCCGACAAAAAAATAAGGTAAAACCGACCCGAAACGACCCGACCCTAAAAAAACGAAACAAACTGAATATCTTGCTTAGACAAAGTGATCACTTTGTTAGTGCCTGCCCTTACCCACGTGGCATGAATTCTTTTGCAAAACCATTGTCTCTCTCCCCCTCTCTCTCTCTCTCTCTCTCTCTCTCTCTCTCTCTCTCTCTCTCTCTCTCTCTCTCTCTCTCTCTCTCTGTCATACTCAGTGGGTCGATCGAGAGTATTACTCCGCTAATTGAACAAACACATGGTATCATCATGCGGTATCATGAAAACTCTTAAAATGTACCTATTTTACTGACAGTTCCATCCGACTGGTGCGCTCGGTGGCCACGCCACACTAGGGCTGCGGTCACAGTGACTGTCAATAATATTGCATCACCTAAATTTCTCAACTGTTTCGGTTTATTTCGGTTTATTTCGGTTTATTTCGGTTTATTTCGGTTTATTTCGGATTATTTCGTTTTTTTTTCAAAAGATGGCTTAACCGACCCGACCAGAACCGAAAATGAAAAAGCAAAACCGAAACCGACCCGACCCGACTGAAATGATGGACAAACCGACCCGACTTGACCCGAAGTCGGTTTGGGGTCGGGCCGGTTTCGGTTTTGGGTCGGGTTTGCACATCATTATTAGACATAGACCTTTCAAAAAATGTATTTAGATTTTGCAACCTCAGGTGGTAACAATAAGTCAAATTTTGGCCTCTGGCCCATGGACTAATGGTCTCTGCAACAGTTCTTTACTTTAGTATCAGGTAATAAGGGAAACTTGAAGAACCACGTTATACCTTAGTTATTGCTTTACATTTCTTGCTAATTCACCTTACAATTATGGCCAAATGTGCCTTAAGATGATGGGGAAACAAGCATGTATTCCCTTTATATATTGAGAACACTTCTCTTTCAAGCATAATTACAATTGAAGAGAATCAAACCATTTGTATTATGTGAAAATCTGTCCATAGTATCTTTACACAATGCTTCTACAAAATTTATTCATCCCCTCCTTCACCCAATATCACAGCTTGTAGCGTCAAGCAACCTTTCCAACTCTTTTTGGCATTATAATTTGTACTAGAGTAACCTTCCTGTTTTAAAATGATCATTCTCATTACACACTTGACATAGCGCTCTCAAGTTTCAGGAGGCTATGATCAAGCCGAGTTGACCGAATGCTACATCGGTTGAAACACTGTACTTTTGTTCTTATTACATGTCCATGTACATGCATTGTAACGCTAGGTCTGGGTACCTCTGCAGCTGTTAGGTCTGGGAACCTAGCAGGGTTGGGGTCTGAGTACTCATACTGGGGATGTGGTATGCCCCACAAATTGTTCATTGTGTCTGTATGCCCGTTTACTTGGTATTGTAACGAAATTGGCCCGAGTGCTTGTAGCTTTCGCGCGTAATAGCGCTGAGGCGTGCCATACTTGCTGAGCATGCGCAGTGGGCTGCTTAGGTGACCTTGAGCTGTTTGCGCGCGCTGTGACTCGTGTGTGTACGTGACGGGAGTTGCTGTGGAGCTAGCGGACTGAAGAGACGTGTTACGGCGGAGCTCTAAGAGAGTTGTTGTAGGGCGCTAGGCTTGTGTGCGTCAGCGTTGCTGTTGGTGTGTAGTGGGAGCTGGTAGCAGAGAGGCGGAGCGGTATAGCGACCGACCGCCTGATCCCAGAGCAGCGTGAGAGAGGCTGATCGGAGTGTCCGAGACAGCGGGACTGTCGGAGCCGTGTCAGAGAGTCCGTGGCGGCGGCGGTTTGCCGAATCTAGTTGCAGCAGCTCATAGCGCGGGGTATATCAAGCTGACGTATTTGATAAAGTTAGTGACGAGCACAGTTCAGGACCGATATTGTTGAACCTCCCCACAAGTTATCACATTCACTAATAATGTCTATTAAGTGCCTTCAGTAATAAACCTCTCTAGACTATCAGTAATTCTAAGGCTCAGTAGGAAACTCGATTATATCCCTTAAGGATACAGGAAACCCTTAAGGAACCTCAAGGCTATACCTTAAGGAACAGCAATTCCAATAAGGAATCTGCAACTTAACTGAAGTGATTAAGGCGTCTTAGTTATAATAAAGGGAAAACCCCGCGTCTCTTGAGTGATCTCTCTTTGTCAGATTATTGGGTTCCTGCGCTGCTCTGCCTGGTATTTATCTCCGCTCCATAGGGTCCCCGGGAAAAAGTGTTGCGCGCGGCGATATATGGTTGCCAAACGACCTCCCCCACAGTGCTGTAGGGCTGCCACTCGCCTTTGCAGTACCGAGTCAAACTTGACCCGGACGGGATTCGCTACATTGGTGTCAGAAGTGGGATAAGGCGTGACACTTTCAGGAGACTGCATCTGCAGTGATGGTTTCTGAATGGATGGAGGAGGAGCTGGATGTTCTGAGGATGGAGGCACACCAGGCCGAAAACATGTACGAGGATGCACTCATGGAAAAACGGGAACTTGAGGAACAAGTACAGAAAATGAAATCAATCATCGAGGATAAGGAAATAAGCCGGATTGAAACACCGGAACTGTTCACCCCAACTACTGCTGTCTCAAGCACTTTTAGTTCAATACTAGGGATACCAGGCACACCTGCAAACACTAGACAAACGGAGGAGACATCCTTGGTAACCGCGAAGGAAACTAAGAAAAGTGAGGACAGATTTAGGAAACCGAATATTTGTCCTGACCGGTGCAGTGGAAAAGTGCCATGGAAGGACTATAAGGCACATTTTCAAGCTTGTTGCGTAGCAAATGGATGGAAGGACAGCCAGGCTGCTGTATTCTTAGCAGCCAGCCTTCAGGGATAGGCGTTGCAGGTGCTGGAATGCCAACCAGAGGGGAAGGAACTTTCACTAAAAGATATTTTGGACAGACTAGATCAACGTTTTGGACCAGGACAACAGGCAGATTTCCATCTAATGGAGCTTCGTCATCGTCGTCAGGGCGAGACTGTAACCCTGCAAGAGCTCGGAGCCAGTGTGAGAGAACTTGCAGCATTGGCGTACCCGGAGTTCTCAGACAAGAGTAGAGAGAGACTGGCGAAGGGACATTTCATGGACGCCGTGAAAGACAGAGAAATCAGGGAGGGTATTTTCCGTTCAAAGCCTGCCACCCTTGATGATTCGATCAAGGCGGCGTTGCAAACACAGAGTTTCCTGCAGACAGAGGATCGTAGGACTAGCGATAAGGCTAGGAAGTTTGCTAGAGTACTAGAAGGCAAGGACGAAATTACGATGAAGGAACTGAAGAGAGAGATAAGAGAAACACAGGAGTCCATGGGACAAGCCTTTGGAAAAATCCAGTCGATGCTACAGGATATCAGTAGGGGTAGCCAGGAGAAACAAGTGGGTTATGATTCTGGACCGAGATCTGGAAAGGGATGGAAAGGCAGAACACAGGACGTGTGTTACAACTGCAAAGCCTCGGGACATTTTGCTATGAACTGTCCTGCACCAAACAACGACAAGTGTTACAGTTGCAAGGAAAAGGGACATATTGCACGGGACTGTAAATCACCCAAACGTGAACAAAATGTAGAGTCGGGAAACGACAAACAGCCTTCCCCGGGGTCCAAGGGTGGGCTGACGATTCGAAAAGACCACAAACAATAGGAGGAATACCTCAGGGGATTACACTTCCCTCAAGGGACCAAAGGAAGGGAGGACTTTATGTGAGTGCACGTGTGAGGGGAGCAGAAACACTTATGTTAATAGATACAGGGGTGACAGACACAATAATTTCGACGGCGGTATACTACAAGATACCGAAGGAACAGAGGCCAACATTGAGCACGGAGGGAGTAGGACTGTATGGAGCTGACGGTCACTCCATAGAGACGATAGGTGGAGCGTGGTTAGAGGTTCAAGTTGGGAAGACTACCTCCCCAGTGCGGGCGATCTTTGCCAAATTGGAGATGGATGGAATCCTTGGGATGTACTACCTCCTTACCGACAAGGGGACGGTTAGATTTTCAGGAGTTAGTCCTTGCCCTGAATGGACAGAGGATTAAGTGTGTGAATAAACAGGGCAATAATTTCTGTGCCCGGGTGGTCGTAGGAGAGACCATATCAGTGCCACCAGGGCACAAAGCACTTGTATCAGGGAGAGTGACTCGGAAGTTTACTGGGCTCGGGATAATGGAACCTGCGCAGAGTACAGAGTTGACGGCTAAGGGGCTGATTGTTGCTAGGCTTTTGGTAAAGCCCGAGGAAGATAATTTGCCAATAAGGGTTTTCAACCCAGGAAGGAGAGTATGTGTTGTTAAGGCCGGCAGTATGGCTGGTTTGCTTAGTCAGGTGGCGGAAGAGGACGTGCAACCACATCAACCCATACAAGGAGGACGACCTGACCGGTTGCCTGAACATCTGCAGGACTTGTTCAACCGGAGCATCGAGGGAGTGAAGTCCAAGTATCATGCGGAGGTGGCAGGATTACTTACTGAGTTTCAGGATGTATTCTCGAAGGGAAGTGAGGATATTGGACGCACGGAATGCGTAAAACACCATATAACGACAGAGGGCAAAAGGCCTATGCGAGAGAGACCCAGGAGATTTCCTGCAGTCGAACAGGAGGAAATTAATCGGCAAGTCCAGGACTTGCTTAAGGACGGAAGGATTGTACCCTCAAGTAGCCCGTGGGCTTCAAACGTAGTGCTCGTCAAAAAGAAGGACGGAAGCAAGCGGTTCTGCGTTGACTATCGGAGACTTAATTCCATAACGATCAAGGATGCCTACCCAATCCCCAGGATTGATGATTCCCTTGATGCGCTTTCTGGGGCCCAGTGGTTTTCTACGCTGGACCTCGCATCTGGCTACTGGCAGGTGGCCCTGGATGAGGAGGCACAGGGGAAATCGGCCTTTGTAGTAAGGGGCGGCCTTTACAGTTGGCGTGTGATGCCTTTCGGGCTATGCAACGCGCCTTCGACGTTTGAGAGACTTATGGAACGAGTATTAAGTGGCCTTCACTGGGAAACACTTTTAGTGTATCTGGACGATGTTATAGTGTTCGGCAAGACTATACTGGAGGAACTCAGGCGACTGAAGGTCGTGTTGCAGCGCCTGAGAGACGCAGGATTAAAGTTAAAGCCTGCTAAGTGTGATCTGTTCAAACAGAAAGTTCGCTACCTCGGTCATGTAGTAACTCCGGAGGGCATTAGCACGGATCCTGATAATATCAACGTTGTCAGGGATTGGCCAGTCCCCAAGACAGTAAAGGAAGTTCGCAGTTTTGTAGGACTAGCGTCCTACTACAGGAGGTTTATAGAGGGGTTTTCAGCGGTGGCGAAGCTCTTGCACAGGCTTACGGAAAAACACAGGGATTTCCAGTGGACCAATGAATGTCAGGCATCCTTCGAGGAATTGAAGAGGCGCCTCACGGAGTCGCCTGTCCTCAGTTACCTGGAACCAGATGGAGAGCTGATACTTGACACGGATGCCAGTGACCCAGGGATAGGAGAGGTCTTAGCACAGAGAAAGGATGGCCAGGAGAGGGTGATAGCCTTTGCTAGTAAAGTGTTGAAAAAGGCAGAACAAAATTACTGCGTCACCAGGAGAGAATTGCTGGCTGTGGTGACGTTCTTAAGGCACTTCCGACCGTATATCTATGGACGAAGAATCACAGTAAGGACAGACCATGGAGCCTTAAGGTGGCTCATTAACTTCAGGGAGCCTGCAGGCCAAGTAGCACGATGGCTACAGTTAATCGGGGAGTATGATTTCGAAATCATCCATCGAGCGGGGAAAGCTCATCAGAACGCGGACAGTCTATCCCGTCGACCCTGTTCCCAGTGCGGAATGGGCGAGTGGGACACCAGTAAAGATGAGGAAACCATATGGAAGGAAAGGGGTAGAGCTCCTTTGACATCACTGAAGGGAGGAGAAACCACCTTAAGTGATGGAGGCGCTCAGGCAGACGTGAAGGAGGGCGTAGCAGAGGTATGTGCGGTTGGAGTGTTGCCAGAGGTAACATTGGAAGACTAGAGGAAAGCTCAACTTAGAGAAAGCTCCATGGAGTGGGTAATCAGAGCTAAGGAGGCAGAAAGACCTCGTCCAGATTGGGAGACACTGTCCGTGACATTTAGCGCAAATAAGAACTATTGGTTGCGATGGGAACAATTATCTGTTCGGGACGGCGTCTTACAGCGCCGCTGGGAGTCTGATAATGGCAAGGAGGTTCAGTGGCAAACGTTGGTACCGCAGGAATTCCGACAAAAGATACTGCATGAGCTTCATGCAGGAAGACTGAGTGGACTCTTAGGCACCAAACGGACCATGGCAAAGGTTCGCACCAAATTCTTTTGGAAAGGGATGGGTGCGGACATAAGGTCTTTCATTCGGGAGTGTGATGTGTGCAATAGGAGGAAGTCGCCCAACAAGAAGAGAAGAGCGCCCGTACAGCAACACCTAGTGGGAATTCCAATGGAGTGCTTGGCAATGGACATAACAGGACCCTTCCCAGTGACAAGAAATGGCAACCGATATATACTAGTGATTGGGGACTACTTCAGCAAGTGGTTTGAGGCATACCCCATTCCTGATGAGAAGGCAGCGACTTTCGCGTACAGGTTTATCAAGGAATTCGTGTGCAGGTATGGCGTCCCCAAAACACTGCATACCGACCAAGGGAGAAATTTCGAGTCAAGGCTGATAGCTGAGGTGTGTAGGATGCTCGGGGTTGAGAAGACCAGGACCACTCCCTACAACCAGAAGTCCGACCGGATGGTCGAGAGATTTAATCGGACCCTGGTTAATATCGTGGCCATGCTTATGAAGGAGCACAAACATAACAAAGACTGAGAGGTTCCTTCTGAGAGATGAAGGAACCGGACTATGCCAAAGTGGTGCGTAGGAGGATGCAGGGCGCACATGAAAGGGCTAGAGAACACTTGAAAAAAAGTGCAAGGCGTCAGAAACTCAACTATGACAAGGGCACAATCCAGGGCACTTTGCTGAAGGCATGTTTGCGTGGTTGTTCAACCCGGTGAAGAAAAAGGGAGTGTCGCCAAAGTTAATGTGTAGGTGGGAGGGGCCCTACCTTGTAGTGAACAGGCTGTCAGACGTAACCTTAAGGATTCAGCGGAAGCCGGGGGCAAAAATGAAGGTTATGCACTGTGACCGCCTTGTAAAGCCGTACCAAGGCACGCCTTTGAAGTCTTGGATATTAGAGACGGGCGGCAGGGGACAGGAAGCGCAGCAGCAACCTGCAGGAGATATTCCTGAGAGAGAGGAAGCTCAGATAGAAGTAGATAGTAGCCCAGTGGAACTGGGCCAGACTTTAGTACCAGAGATACAGTGTGATCGGGAAGCACCTGAAGGTGCAGGCAATGCAGGATCTGACCTAGAACCTGCACCCCTGAACATGACACATGTAATACCTGCACAGGCGAGGAGGAATCCTTTGCGCCAGCGACGGCAGCCACAGCGCTATCTGTAAGTAGCTCAGGAATCTAAGGGAGATCGATTAGTTCTAGGACTACTTAAGAAGTTCGGTAGTTACAGTGAAGTAACTGTTGTTTCGTTTTGTTTCTTTTGCTTTCTTTAAAGGAGGATGGAGGATCCCAAGGCAGGTTGGAAGAAGCCAAAGGACTGGAGTACCTTGAAGGTATATGCATGCTCTGAGTGTGAAGACACATATATCAGTAAGAGGAGCCTGGACAACCATCTCGGAACTCACAACAAGAAGAAGAGCCTCCTATACTTCTGCAAAAGATGCGACAGGAGATACGGGAGGAAGGACAACCTTAGAGTGCACTATCACAATCACCACCCCGCAGGAATGGATGACCTGAAAAGCGTATACCCTGAGACGGAAGAGGAAAGAAAAGCAGCAAAGCAGTCTGAAGACTCGGATGAGGTACCGAGTACTTCTTCTGCCCCCTCCGGACGGAAGAGGAAGAGACCCGAGACTGCAACCGTCGACAGACCGAAAAAGGAGGGCCGGAAGAAGGAAGAGAAACGAGCAATGAGGTCAGGTGAACCTGAAGAAGAGACTAGTCTTGTTGCTGCCCCCTCGGGAGAAAAGGGGATGAGAACGGAAGCTAAGAGTGTTGATAAGCCACCGAGGGAACCGCAGAAGAAGGAGGCCGAGGAGGAAGAAACTCAGGTCCCCTTGACACCTGGCAGGGAGTTAGAGATAGATGATGTGGCTGGGATATCCTTGTCACCAGCTTCCGTGTCTCTGCTCGACAGTGTGGAGCCGCGACGCAGGATGGATTATGGAGGGAAACCAAAAGGGACGATGTCAATGAGGCAGGATGTCAAGGCAGAAGCTAGCGACGGGGAGGAAACAGACCTCAACGACGACGCCTCTATTTCTGTTAACCTTGGGCGAGCACTTCAGGGAAGCTCTCTACGGTATCAGGAGGGGGATCTTCGGAAACGCACCTTTCCACCTGCCACAGATATTCAGCACGGGCAGGCCAAGACGTCAGCACTGGAGGAACCACCACGAGCCAGAGTATGCAGGGTCAGTAGTGGCAACCCTGGGTGGCGACGGGCGACTCCGATCGATACTGCTGATCTGGAAGTGATGATGGCCGGGAATGTTCGTCAAGTGAAGGAGGTCAGCACCAGGAACCAGTTTCAGAATGGGTTGAAGGTATTTGAAGAGGTCG